GTATAACATATATTAAAAACAGCAAAAAAATCATTTTCCAGGTATGAGTGTACTCAAATATTCAATTTGACTTTTTGCCTGTTGCTTCCCTACTTAACATTTTCAGCTTTGATTTTCCTGATTTTAATGAATTTTGTCTGATTCTTCAGGTTTTATCGGAAGCAATCAAAAGTGCCTCATTTCCACAACGATCTAATTTAAAGTGTTTTGTGTGGTAAGTCAATTTAGTTTTAGTAAATTTCCCTCATTGTACACTCCATTGCATATGATTATTAACATAATCAAATGCAGAAAAGGAGAAGATGAAGCATTTCATGCCCTTGTGATACTCTATATTTTAAATATCATTGTAGGCATATAGCAGAACTTGTACCACAAGAGAGTGGGTTCATTCATGCTGTATTAAAGTCAGAAATAGCCTCCTACCTAGATGCTGAAGAGTGGAGTGAAATGGCTGTAGTAGATAATCCTGAACAGATGTATTTACAAGATATTGATATGGAAGATGATATTAGTTTACCAGCTTCTAGAGGTTAGAATATTTCTAATATTATTCATGGCTTTCTTTTTGTGAATTATTGATTCAAGATGCATTTGAATAAGAAATAATTTTTTTTAGAATTTGTAATAAATTCCTGTAGAATTGCTTTTCTTGATTTCTGGATTGTCATTTGTAACCTATGGCGCTCTTATATTTATTGCTACCTGCTCACCGTCTTAAAGGAAGCGATCTTTACAATTTTCGGCTTAACCCATGAATTAGACAGAAAAACAGAAACCTGGTATGCTATTTTAACTGACGGGATTTGAAAAACTGCGAACTATTTTAGTTTTGATCTAGTCATCAAGAGCTATGATGAATTGTGACCAAAATTTATCATGATATTGTTTCTGATTGTAGAACCAACATATGATATGAGTAATACTGAAGGTAGATTATTAACTGTGTATGATCCTCAAGCTATACAAGTCTTAGTTACTGAACTCTGTGAGAAATTTAATATGAACCCATATCAAATTATAAACCTAAATGAAAAGGTAAGATATCATCTTTATAGCTATCATTGACATTTTTCAGACTGAAGATCCAACAAAGTGTTTGTCTGCAATTAAATACATACAGATTACTATAGTATATAAGGATGTTAAATGTCTGAATCAGTTTAATTCCATGAATTTCTGTTTTTCTTATTGTAGTGGAAAGTACCAAGAGAGATAAAGAAAAATCTAGATGTTTATAATTCTCAGTTGAATATGAAACAAGCCTATGTTTATGTTCTAGTTGGTAAAGCTCGACATTGTATGGACCTCAGAGTAAGTTAATTGCTTATAAGATGCTATTGTCAGTCATAATTGACATTTCTTTACCAATTAAAGGATTGGGACTAAACAACTGTTCATCCCTGTCTTGACATGTGGAGAGTGCTCAGCATTGATTCCTATGTGTGTCACTAAATTGTTAAATTGTCCCTTAGCTTTTTTATTTTGTTGCTTTTGTTGAGTGTTTTGTTTCAAATACACCTTAATGTCTCAGTCAGATCTTCTACATTTCTTATCAGAAAACATTGCAATGCAAGGCTTCCAGATTATGGTTAATTGGAATATATTTGCAGATCAATGACATATATGTCAATTTTGATGTATTGTCTTTAATGAAAAGTTGTGCAATCAATGAGATAATCCTTGTGACTTTAAACCATAAAGTACTGAATTTTAAACAAAGTTATTAACAAGTTCCTTAATATACATATTTTGACAACCTTTTTGTTATTCACAGATATTTGAGCGATGTCGACAATTATTATCTGTAGCAGACACAGTAGTAGCTGAAATATCTTATACATTATCTAAACATATTCGATGGCAAATACTACTAGCTGATTTACAACAATTTTACTTAAACGAGACTTTTGGTGAGGGTTCTTCTGTAACAGATTTAACTAAAAAGACAAAAACTTGTCTTACTAGTGTCAGGCTAGCCCAAGGTACGTATATCCATGTTGATCTATGCAATGAAAAATCAGTGCTGTTCACACATTAAAAATTTAGATGGGTAATGAAACGTTATGTGCAATGAGGGAAAGTTTTGTCAGGAAGGCATAATTGTTTTCTGTTAAAAGACCCCATTTCCTTGTCCTATAAAAAAAACACTATATGTTTTGACCTTTCCTTGCCCCTCCAATCAGCATCGTTTGAGATATAGAAAAAACTTTTGTTTGTGTATGTGTTTGTGACAGAATTATTATGGCTTGAATTATGATGAAGTTTGTATTTTACTTTAGCTAGATATATGAATATGAAATATTTCTAGATATCCAGCCAAGCAGTGAAGTATTAGAAAATTGTACTGGATTTTTATTAAATGAAAGAGATTGGGAATATTTAACTAGTATGGAAAATACTAGAAATGGATATATTGAAGTAAGTATGAATTTTTTTTTAAAAGGTGTTATATTTATATTTTGTACCATTGCTTGTAATATAGATCCTATTAAAAGTCAGATGAAAATAAACAAATATTTTAATCTTCCATTTGGTGAGATCACTTTATTTTCTTGTTTTACGAATCTTCCTTCCTCAAGCCAAATCTATGAAGAAAAAAAATTGGACTGACCTAACATAATCGATATTCCTGCATGATTAAGTTTGTGTACATTCATACTATAAGGGATGATTTCATCACTTTTTCCAAAATACCATTATTACCGTTAAATGTGTTGAATCTGGCTGAGACATGGAAGTAATAAAAAAAGTCTGAATAACGTTTTTTCTATTGACAGTTGAGTCGTTTATTATCATGTACATGTAAAGAATTAGTAAATATAAAGAATGCTAGAAGTGTAGCTAGAGATCTATGGGAAGCAGGTATGTGTTATCAGATAAAGTTCAATATTTACAGTATGTTTTGTTTTTATGAGCACAGTAACCATACACACTACTAAACAGGAGTGAGAAACCAACACAAGATTATATATATTATTATATTCAATTATCATTGCTATCAATTATCTTTAATATCAGTTATCTTTGCTATCAATTATGTTTGCTATCAATTATCTTTGATATCAGTTATCTTTGCTATCAATTATCTTTGCTATCAAATATCTTTGATATCAGTTATCTTTGCTATCAATTATCTTTGATATCAATTATCTTTGCAATCAGTTATCTTTGATATCAATTATCTTTGCTATCAGTTATCTTTTACTATCAGTTATCTTTGACATAATTTATCTTTATCAATTATCTTTGCTATCAGTTTTCTTTGCTATCAATTGTCTTTGCAATCAGTTATCTTTGAAATCAATTATCATTGATATCAGTTATCGTTGATATCAGTTATCTTTGCTATCAGTTATCTATGATATCAATTATCTTTGCTATCAGTTATCTTTGATATCAATTATCTTTGCTATCAGTTATCTTTGCTATCAATTATCTTTGCTATCAGATATCTTTGCTATCAGTTATCTGTGCTATCAATTATCTTTGATATCAGTTCGCTTTGCTATCAGTTAGCTTTGCTACCAGTTATCTTCGAAATCAATTATCTTTGATATCAGTTAGCTTTGCTATCAGTTATCTTTGCTACCAGTTATCTTCGAAATCAATTATCTTTGATATCAGTTAGCTTTGCTATCAGTTATCTTTGCTACCAGTTATCTTTGAAATCAATTATTTTTGATATCAGTTAGCTTTGCTATCAGTTGTCTTTGTTATCAGTTACCTTTGATATCAGTTGTCTCTAATTTAATTTTTTTTTTCATCCTTAATCCTTAAATTCAATTATATTGATATCAATTATCTTTATTCAATTTAAACATAATCATTTAGAAAAATACACTTTATTATCTTACAGTTTTAACTATATTCACTAATGTAACACAACATAAAAGAACAGCTAGTGGTCGTGATAGTACAATGCATCGTGAATCAAATACTGGTTTATTATCACGTGATAACTTTATTAGTTTATTTAAGAGATTAAAGGTAATTATGTTATTTCTACAATGTTTAGGCATTCCATGGAAATTTTTAGGAAATGTACATAAAAGCTGTGATTTTTTAGTTATAATATAAATGGTCATATTACTTTTTTTTCACATGAATGAGGTTTTTAAATTGCATTTCTTTTCATGTTTTGATGCATCAAAAAAACTGAGAATCATAGAAATGCATTTTTTATTTTGGCTATGTTTAATTTTCAGGAACCTACAGTTTTATCCTTGTTATTATCAATGTTCACTAAATTATTTACTACACTCAAGGTAGGTAACTCTTATTGTTCTTGCGATCAGACAAAATGAGACGTCAGGCATAAGACTTGATATCATAGTCTGACAGATATTACCATGTTAGGAAAGAACTAATAATTTCAATGCTAACATATTCAAGCCAATGGGTGAAATCATTCCTTAAATTTTTCATTTGTCATATAGTTTGCAAACGATTTCCTGTGTTTGACAGAAACAGAGCTTATGTTCTTTAGAAGATGTGCATTCAATTCCTTTCTGAAATATTTATGGCTTTTCCTATATTTTCATGAACAAAAATATTTGATCTTCAGGATGATGTAACTAGTGAAATAACCAGTGAATATTTAACACTATGGCCAACTATCGTCTTGAAGTAAGTAGAATTTTTATGATTGGAGTATTCTTTGGGTAACAAATTTCATTGTTGAGGACATGATAAACTAAATGCTAATTGCAGGAGAATGCAGATTAACTATGTAAAGATTATTGAAACAAATATCCAATCCAAATTTAAGATGTTAAATGCAGATGGTTCATTTTGTTTAAGTTCTCAGGCTATGGATCTTGTAACTGGTTATTCAAGTCTGACTTCGTTATCACTGAGCACCTGACAACACTTTCTTATGATACAACAAATTCATTTGTCAAGAGAGTCCACAATGATACAGATTTTAAGATGGTGGTAATTTTGTTATTTTCAGTACAAGTTCTATAGATACCAGTTCTATATCGGATGTTTTAACACAGTTGATGCAACATGCTTTAGATGTTAACCCAACACAGCCATATTGGCTGAAAATACAAGCTGATATATACTTTGGTAAGCTTCAATCATTATTTACAATATCAGTAGTCTATTTTTGTAGCACAGAATTCTGTTCAGAACAAATCATTTGCTTGAATTTGCTTTATCTAGCCTAATATATATACTAGGGACTGCTGGGTTGGAGTTATGCATCCTTGGAATCATCCAGACATTCAATAAAACAAGTTGAAACAGAGTTCAGAACACGTTAAACATGCGCCAAAAAAATAGTAGGTGCAGACAGAATTCAAAATGGCAGAGACAGGAATAAAAGGGAATTTTGAATGGGACATAATTTGGTTCTGGTGTAAGACCAGAATTGACACAACAGAATCTGTTAAGAACTCACCAATCAAGGGCCACCCTAGGCTTTTTATTGGTTTAACACTAAACTCAGAGTATAAATTTTTTATTACAGCTCACAATCAGTATTCATCAGCTATGAAATATTATTTAGAATGTGGAGTAGTAGCTACAGATTATTTCTCTAGTCCTGTACCATTAGGCCTGTATGATGATCAGGTAATTTTATTTCTATATATTATGATTTATAAGATTTTCTGTCTTATAAGTAAGTATATTGATATGATATAGATTTGTTTAATTCCAATTCAATTGTGATGCTTTATGTGATGCAAGTAATTAAAGTGTGATTACTGTGATGCTCTTGTTGTTTACAGTGATATTATTGTGTATTATGATGTTCATATTATTTACAGGTTTATAGAAAGATGATAAAATGTTGCTCATATTTACAATGCCATACACAAGTAAGTTTTTAACAAGGAGTTGATTCAAAAAAAAATACCAAAACAACCTGAGCCATGCAGAAACTATTAAAATTGAGAATTCAGTTGCAAAAATTGTGTTATATATATTGTAGAAGTTTTAAAACAGTTTCTGCTCAATTTTTTTCATTAATGATAAACATTTGTAAAATTGTAAAATACATATTTACTGTATGTACATATACACTTCTTTATTTTAACCATGGCCAATTCTTTTATGAAAACTTTCTATCTCTATCTTAACATCTAACACAAGAGATTTTTTCATCTTATTTGTATATAGGTAGGTGTTCTGTGTCAGTTTTTAGATGAAGTAGATTATGGAACAGCGTTTAAAGCGTTACAAGAGAAGACTTGCTATGATGCTATGGATGCTTATTATCCTTGTATGTGGGATATTGCTATCTTAGAACATCTGATACGTATCCTTTTTTGTATCAGTGATTGCAGAATATTATGAAACTGAATTGTGACTTGATATTAAAAGCCTCATATTCAATTAAACTCATATTGTGCTCATATGAAAGTTTTTCTTATCTTTTCCTAAGATTTACACACTAAAAGAGGTGAAATTGAGAAAAGCAAAGCAGCTGTAAGTTATATTCAATTATTATTTTGATAAAAACAAAGCTAAGCACTGAGTATTCCAAAAGAAGTTTCCGGAAGAATTAAATGAATTTTATTCACCTCTTGATAAAAAGACTATCAAGACTTGTTCAAACTTACTTCAAACTCTAATTAAACTTAGAGCAAACTTTCATTCCATTTTTTATTAGCTTTTATTTTTAATTTAGCTACTTCAGTTAGGGTCTAAAGAAGGGCCTCTTAAACATTTACCATTTAATGATACCAATCCAATCAAATTTCTTCCCTCTGTTCTTTGGAGAGGGAAACTTGTCATCCAATTTTACTTTTGATCTGGTAATAAAGACAAGTGTGCTGGACAATTAGAAAACGTGTAGGCTCATGTTTATTGTTTCTGCACAATTTTCCTAATTGCAAACTCTATGGGGTTGCCGTTCTTCATTAGCCCAAATGAAGTAGATTATATGATGTTAAACTAAAACTTTAATATGTTTGATAGTCTATCATCAAGACATAATTTTCACGAAATTGTTTCTCTTTGTAGATGAAAGCTATTGGTCAAATGGATGTCAACTGTGGAAATCCAGATGAGACATTACGTAGAGCAATTTCAACCAGAAAAACTAAATTTCTCAGAGCTTTAGCTAAACAATATATTACCTGAAGTAAAGATCTAACTTGTGTTTATGAAATTTTCACAGTGCACAGACGTTTTGAGAGAGTGAGCAATGCTTAATATCACAAAAGTGCTTATTGACATTTTGAAGTGCTAGCTATTTTATTATTACTGACATATACATCATGAAAGTGAATTATGCTGTTCCACATTCACAAAATCAGGTTTTCAATTAACACTTATCATTTCTCAATTAAACAGATTTTTGTCTGTCCATAGGCTAAATCTATTCTATTTTGCAATGTCTAGTTCTCAAACCCAGTCACAAATCGGTGCCAGGTGGTCCTGCAGGTGTATTCTCAAGATAGCTAGACTTGAGGAAAATGAGCACACAAACTCACCAGACAGGAACCAAATGTGAAAAAAAATGAATATTGTTTCAAGTTTGAAGACAGCAGGTGTATACTCAATATAGCCGGACTCGATTTCAAATGAGCACTCACTTAACAGGAGCTAAATGTGAAAATATGAAAGAGGAGAATATTGTATAGAATGAAGACTAATCTCAAATTGAAAAGTGCCACATTCCCTGTATGCAAAAGACCAACAAGATCTATTTGTTAAATCCTATTTATGTAATCTCTTTCTCATTATAGAGAAACTGACCTATTTCAGCCTAAGTCCCCACTGAACTTTGAACTTATTTTCATGTCTAAACTTTGAGACAAGTAATTTACCAGGCCAAGTGGTTTCAATGAAAACACACAGATTTTTGGTCCAATATTTTATTGGCCATGTTTTTGGTTGTGTTTTAATGTTTCTACATTACTCTACACTTGATATAATGGTTACTATTTTAATAGTGAAACAGTTTGATATACCTCTATATTATATTTGAATATAGATATGATTTTCAAATTGGCAATCAAAACAATAATATTCTGTCCTATTCAAGTATAGAACATATGGTCATGGTAACATCTGTGCTAATTGAATATTTCCTCATTAAAGCTCTTTATGAATATTTGTACAATAAAACATTATTATGTTAACTCGTGTATTGTTATTATTATTGTAGAAGTAAAGTTGTTATCATTCTTCTCTATGTTTATAGTAACAGTTCTGTTTAAAATACAGATCTATATTATATTGTTTAATGTTTCATCATTTCATCTACGATCTAATGAAATTTTTCATTAACTAGAGTTCAGTCAAATATTTAATCCAATGCTAACGTATAAAAACGGCTGTTTATGAATATCCCAGAAGTTTTTACAATCTGTTGGTCAATATGTTTTTGAACATAACAATTGATTGATTGAATATTTAAATGACCCTGAACAGTGTGTTATAACAATGTCGTCAGATCATGGATGGCATGTGGAGCCACCCACAAAAGAACATTTAGCTCAACATTAACGGGGTTTCCATCTGTCAGTGATGCGGATCGGAGGTGACATGGAAAAACGCCTTGTTTGAATAGAAACAACCGTGGGATTCAAGTTGTGCTCGTAAAAGATCCATCGTTGAAAGTCGGAAAAAGAGTAGGCTAATGCCCGATGCAATATTCTGTCAAAATTGTATACTGCATGATGTATCCCCGTCTTCTTTAGCCCAAGGAGTGATAACAAGCTGATTTTAGAACAATACATGAACATCGATGTCATATTATATATCATCTTCACAATGTCAAGCTATTACGAACATCGTCTTATACCTTGATTATTACAGACTCTTCTTTGTATGACAGAAGCTGCATTCAGTGGTACAAGAACAGAACACAGTGAGCTCGTATTAGACACTGTGAAGATGATTCTGAACTATAGTAGACCAAATCTTATAATATGATTTTCACGTCCAAAATTTGTGATTGACTTCTACATGCAATGATAATAATTTTACACGTCATTGCTGCTGGTAGATTTCGAATTAACCAACATTTCGTGAAGAAAATGTAAATTAACTCATCCGATTTTATCTCAATTTGAAATAGCACTCAATTTGAAAAGGAATGTTTTAACCGGAAACAATGATTATTCCTAGTTTAATGTTGTCATTCAATGGCAGATGATTTTTAGATGCAGGAACATCGGTTAAATAGCAATTTTAAGATGGTATTGATTCCTCAACTCATATTATATAAAAGTCATAAAAAAATCACGTATTTTGTTCGAGGAACAAATTTGGCTCTGGTCATGATAAACCAACCTAATGTCTAAGTAAAGTAAAAGGTTTTTTGAATTTTTCCCATTATTTTTATGAGAGAAATGTGTTTCTTTTCAATGTAAACTTACAAAAGATTATATTTTTATCAACGCAAAGCCATTCAAAGCCTATCAGTACTATTTTGAGTCTGATATTCCAATTCTCCTAAAAAATCTAGTAATTTGCTCAGACAATGGCAATAAATGCTATCTGACGCTGACACAAGACCAACTGTAAAAAGCACCGGTTATAGTACCGGAAGGTTTCCACTGCACCTCGGCTTACATCTAATCTAAATCCCATACCTATCTTTCACCGTTTTGAATTGCTTTCCAGCATTAGACATCCCATACCATTTCAATGACTTGAAAATCAATTGGCTCTTCTTAAATTTCTTATACGAAACAAGTTCTAGTTTCTTTTTCTTTAATACGATTTGGTACTAATTCTATTAATTTGTGTAAAAATTTGAAGCTTTATCGTCTAACCAATCGATAATAACATTCTGTATATAGTTTCTTTAGCGAGTTCCATCACTTGAAAGTGATAAAATTTGTAGCTGACTGGCATTACTAATTTCTTTATTTCTACGATATCATTAATCTCATTCCAAGTTCAATATATTATGATCATGCCAACGGGCAACCCGAAATTTTTCTCATGTTATACATCCATATAATATAGTGGTGAAAATACACCCCCGAACGCTATTATCCCCAGCCCGCCGTTGAGAGTGGATACGAAGCAAATTTGGCGATGGCCCATCCATGCAGCCCATGTGTGTAGTGCTATGTTACCAAGAACGGGCGTATCGCTCGTAGTAAAAGCTCACCCGTACGATATTATTGTTTCCATCTATCATATCAGCATCTAGTGTGATTTCCATACTTGTTAAGCACTCCATTCTTGGCAATAACAGAACTTTTCCTTCCTTTTTGACATATAATCCGTTTCCTAAATTTTTTCAGGGTAGTATATGAACATGATTTTTTTACTAATAATATAGTTTTTATTGCTAAAGTAATGAATGGAGTCTTGATTCAGTTTTAACTCTGCGTTTAGTATAAAAATATAACAACTTTAATTATTTTGTAACTGATAATGAACGTATGAGAAAAAAAATACCTTTGTAAAGGATTTGAATCGATTGCGCTTCTGCATGGCACTAAATGCCACCTTGTACAGTATAACGATTTCTATAGAATTTCATTAGCGCTTCGATAACTACACATTTATCAAGAATTCAATATTGAGCGATTTAACCTCATTTTATTATGTTCTTTAGTTTAGCAGACGACAGTGGCACGAGCAATATATCGTAGTCAGGTTTTGGTCACTAGCAGCGGAAACTGTTGTAGTATGTGTTAGAAGTGGAGAAACATTGTTACATTTCAAGCTTAGATTTCTAAATTTTTCTTGATTCAATATGTCTGTAAGTAGAATTTACATTTATTCAATTACAGGCCTATATTTCCCCGGGGACGATTTCCCCGCTCTGGTATCACGAGCAGATTAATTTAGTACCATTGGGCTTAATCATAATTCAAACCAGGTTTATGTATTTCTAGATTTGTTAATGCTGGATTATTCAATTAGTTGAAATTGATTGAAAGTCGATGGTTTTGTTGATTTTGTTTAGAGTGAAGTGTTTTTGATTAGGTTGAAAATCGAGCTGTAATATTAGTACCGGAATGAAGAAAATCCGCTTCATTTAGACAAACTTGCTCACCTACCAGTTTCTAATAAAGAATTATTTATTCAATTAGTGTCTGAAGAAACGTATTTTCTTCTGATAAATTGAATGTACAAGACTAGACCACAGTGTTGATGAAATAGATTGAGAATCTTGTAGTCCTATTCTACATTGATTTCTATTCTATTTTCCAATTCCTATCATTTGTTCTTAATATCAGGGATATTCTGTATTTGAAGGATATAAATTACAATGGATACTCAGACTAGTGATATAGAAGGAAATTCCAAAACCTCTCCGGAAAAAGAGAGGCAGAAACGCTTGAGGAGATTACATAGCATGAAGCAATTTTATGTAAGTACAGAGAATGGTAGTTTTAAAGGGATATTTGATTAGTTCGTGTGGTGTATTTATAGACATACTGGGTAATTATGGCTAATGGACTAATATTGACTGACTTGAGGTTCTTTTTGTTCATTTGTCAAACTTTACAGAACATTTTCTGCAAAAATACAGTTGCCGGTGTTCAAACAGCGATGCCTGATCGGACTTCTTTCCGTTGGTCCAACTATTAAATGTGATGCAAGTGAGGAAACAAAATCATAAATATTGCAATATTTTATTTAACGTTATCTGCAGTCTCGTAATGTCCTACAATTGTTATTTCGGTTTTGTGACGTCATGAAACCCGACATTAAAGCATTCTAATGGTTCGTTTGAGTTTTTGAAAACATGCCCAAGGTGCTGCTGGAATAATTACTTGCCTTGGCATTTACTTTAATAGTCAAAAGTTGCATTGACCTGTGACTTTTTCAGAGTAAAATATCATAACATTTAGTAAATATGAAATAAAACAAAAGGTGTGGTGTTTTATAATGTTGAGTATCTAGTATTTTAGACTCCTTTTCAATATGTTCTAATGTTTTATCATAGTGTATTTTGATATTATCAATTTTATTTATTCAAATATCGAAACTATCTCAATTTAAAGAGTAGGTCTAAGGAGATTAAAAGTCTAAAGAGAATTACAACAACAGCAGACGTCTGATTGAAATTTGGAATGATGCAAATTAATGCTATCAGTGTCCTCGATGCACATTAAAATCTCTGAAATATCTAAAAAAAATTCCATGTTGTAAGGAAATGCACGAATGGGCTATGAATTTGGGTTGTTCTTCGTTAACATGTTGGGAAAGTTAGGCTATGTATAGTTCCTACGCAGTTTGAAAATGTAAAGACACTAATGATTGTTACTTTAATTCAGAATAAGTACATATTGAATTTGATACCATTTATGAATATTATATGGTTGCTCATTCAGGACACTTGCGATTTTGTGATATAATACATAGTATAAGAGAAAGTACATGCGTTCGATAGTTTATCTCAAATATTTGATAAAATCATATTGTCGTTATTTTAACCTTGGCTTCTTTTTGGTGTAAAATTAACGATTTGTATATAGACTAACCGATGTCCTAAATCTACAACCGTATACATTAAGTTAAACCTACTTTACAATTATGTAAATATTTTATATTTAATTATACAATAGAATTTGATCTAGTGTTGTTATTATTATTAATGAACCGTTAAACTAAATGATTAATATCAAACTGACTTGAATCTTTGCTGCACATGAACATATAAGTTAATGTGTTATCGTAACGAAAATTGATGCGCCCACTGAATGAAGTTGGCAAACACAGGTGGCACTTGGTTGCAAGCTTTCAGATGAGATATATTGAAACTTTAATACAAGTATTATTTCTACACAGAGAGGCTTAAGTCTTTGTTGTAATACTGTAATCCCAAAGCAGATATATTTAAAGGAAGCAATCACTCATTCCAATCTCAGAAAGCTTACAGAGTTCAAAATAGAAAACACCTCCATATAGAAGCAGGAATTGATTAATGTAAAATAAGTGATGTCAAGATGATAGATGTCGAAGGATTGTTAATTATTTATTATCCGAAATATCTTGGTGCGTAATTAGACCTTTTTGTCCATTTGTCCACATATCTCTTGGATCTAGCTTCCTACGATTATCATAGTCTCTGCCTTCTACAAGTAAAGGATGTGGTTATCAATATTTTCGGAGCAACGACGATGTAAAGTTGTGTACCATATTAAACGTTCTGAAACTATGTGAAATCGAAACAAAAGACGACCTCCAAAATGATAACCTTTGGAAAAACACTTATATTATAAGCAACCCGTCTTCAAAATGTCAAGTTATTACGAACTGCGTCTAGTACTTTGACTACATTAGCCACTTTTCTTGTTTCACGGAAGGTTGTTATGCAGCTATTTGGTTTGATTTGATTTGTTACTTATTGGTTGTATCTTTAGTGTATATTTCAATCGAATCACTGGCTGCCATTGCGAGTAATAAACGAAGTTCGTAATAACTTGACATTGTGAAGGTGTAATTAACTCTGTAAATGTCTTTTCTAGTGGTTTTTTTTAATGGGGGGGGGGGGGGGGGGAGGGGTAGGGATCTCCATTAACAATTATATTTTCTTCAAAACTGGCTTGCATGCGCTTCATTATGTGGCAGTGAGAGTTTTTCTCAGTATTTCATTGATCCTTACAAAAGAAATTTTATACTTTACAAGCTGAAAACACTGATATAATCAGAATCATTAGATAGAAAAATGACCATATTATTATCTTGGTGTATGGTGTATGTTTATTTGTTCAGGAAATCAATAAGCTATAAACTATAGTCAGTCACTATGTTTATATGGTAGTTTGTATTCAATTATAGTGCCGTTCTCTATACACTGATAAGATATCATCCATGTAATGTGACACGATCAATCAATAACCATACGTCATCCTAATAGAGATGATCACTCGTATTCATTAGTCATTTATATAGGAATTTCTTCTTAGTTTTTATCTAGGGTCCAAAGTTGATTATTGTATGATGGTTGTCGTTCATGATCACCTTTTCGTAACACCCAATGAATCTCTACAACTTACTGTTAATGGTATACGCTTTTCAAGTTGTATTGGAAAGAATACCAATGTAAAACATGTTCACCTCTTCAAATCTAGGAAACAAGTACCACATGGGTATATTCATCTTCACAATGTCAAGCTATTACAAACTTCGTCTTAACCTTGACTGCAAGAGTCATCCTTCTCGAACCACGCAAGTTTGTCAATGCAGCGGTTTGAATGAATTGTACGCTATAGAATACTGTCGTTCAGGGCTGTCGACATAGGCATAAAATCTGTAAACGATGAGCCATAATGTTTGCAGTCTTTCTGTCAGTACTCTGATTGGTTGTGTTTGCAGTCGTACAATCTAAACAATTCATGAGCCGAGATCAATTGTTGGCGAGGTCACAAATTCTTTCAGATAGCAGTTCGAAGGAAATACATGTAATCCTTGTAACTCTATATAAAGTTGTTTTTTTATTTATATTTTCAGAGTAGTATTTTAGAAAAGTACAGTCCATCACAAATTAGAGGTAAGAACTTCTTTCAAATTATCTGTTTTATTCAAATCTATTTGGAGTCCGATGGAATTTATATTCTGTTGAACTGAAGAACTGAAAAGTGTCTTCCAATTTCTGTTTCCTAATTATTGCCTATCTGTTTTCAGAGTTAAAGGAAGCATTCCGTCTATTTGATAAAGATGGAGATGGTTCCATTACAACAGAAGAACTTGGAACCGTCATGAGAAATTTGGGTCAATTTCCTTCGATAGACGAGTTAAAACAAATGATACAGGAAATTGACATTGATGGTGAGCAGATTCAATTTCAATTGACAGTTTTACTTGCTTGGTAATCTCTTATAATGGTGTCTAAGTAGTAATATAGACAGAATGCCTGAAATTGATTTTCGAGCCAAGTAGCTTTTTATGTCTTCATTGTCAGGAGGAGACTATGAAGATCAGCTTGTCAATGTATTGTGATCAGTCCGAACTAATGACTCCTTTCTTATCCAATTGTGGACAAAACTTCGCCTTTTACGACGTCAATAGAGAGGAACTGCATAGATATCAATAGAAGTTTCCGGTTTCCGAATTTGATATACATTTTGTAGAATGCCATAAGACTGTCGGCAGTGATGTCCACAGAACGTTGTTTCATCATTAAATTAAATTACACAAAAAACATTATACTTCACATATTCTCATATCACTTCAGTCACATTCCTCTCACAAAAGCGTGTCAATTATGTCAATTGGTTTGTTTGAAAGATTATTAAAGATATAAGATAAAATATAATATAAACTTAGGTATCCTTTTACAAAGCCTTCGTATATTACGTATAAGTGGTCGTGAGTTTACACATAAACTGTGTAAGTAGCAGTTTAAGCTCAAAACACATGTAGCTTAAGTTTTGGGAACATTTATATTACGACTCAACCGCCCCATAACTTATACCACATTGTCCAGACTGCCCGTAAGTTACTATGTAAATTTCAAAGGGTTCGGTATTGATGGAAACCAATCAAAATATGGCAAATTATATACATGTATATCACAAGTTATCAATCTGCATTATATTTGAATAAACTAACTTTTTTTTCATTTATTCCCTTGCAGTATTGCAATTTTCACATTAAAGTACATTGATAACAGAACTGTCGATTTCTACTTTTCGCACTGTGAAATTAGTGAGCAAGAGACACATTAATTCCATTAGGTCATTCTTAAGCTTCAAAAAAATTTATTTTTTTGGAAAATTGTCACAAATAAATTTAAACATACCTCCATGTAAAGCTGAGAATTATTAACAGTTGTAATTTTCTGCTGTCATGATTAACTCAAACTACAAAATTAATGTTTAATAGTGTTTCCACATGAGATTATATCTCTTATAAACCTAATTTCGTAGACGATGTAAATTGGAGATATTGTCTTATTTGATAAGAATGGATTATCAAATCCTCTAGGTTTTTACGTGGTTATACTGCAAATTCTTTCAACTAAATTTGGAAATTCCTCATAATGACTTTCAGTGGCCCATCTAGATAACCCCGACATGTGCTGTCATGCATTCTGAGATCTCTTTAAAAATGTCGACTTTTTAATTACCAGATATCTTAAAATTTTAAGAAGGCTATAACAGGCTAAGAGTATCAAAAGGTTCAAGTCATGGTTTGAGGTCTCATTTCCACGTTCGGGGCTGTTCACAGTTCTAGTTTTTTTCTGGAGTTCAAGGAGCCATGCTTAAGATAAAATATAATGTATATATGAGGGGAACATCAGAGAGTTTGGCGTATTGATTAAAGCGGCTTATTTGTTTTTAAGGTGATGGTTTATTTAGTTTTGAAGAATTCGCACAAGTTATGGCTAATATGGGTGGTTTAAATGAAAATTCCGAAGAAGATGAAGAGGAAGAATTAAGACAAGCGTTTAGGGTAAGTAAGACATCAC